GCGCTGTACTGGGTTGGTGACTCGCATGGAGGGGGAGGAGGGGGAGGAGGGAGGAGGAAGGAAGGAAGGAAGGAATGAGGAGACGCCGGGCGCTGTCTCTCCAACGCGAGGACCCAACACCACCACAGGATGGTTGGGAACACCATGTTCAAATGTTTGGGTTCCGTTGACATGTTGGTTCAAGCCGTCTTCGAGTGCTATCAGATCTTCGCCTCGGTCTGCTAAACCCATCTTTGCGGCACAGCTCGCTCCCCATAGACTCGCGCAATGCCTTGTGCTCTGGCAGCAGCGTGGACTGCTTGTCTCCTGGTCAGGGGAGCAGCTGGCGCCCGAATGAGTGGCGGCTACAAAGCTGTTTTGGAAGATGATTCCGATGCCAAGGCCACCGACTCCACGAACGGTACCTTCGAGAACCAGGTGGCGTCTGTAGACGAGAGCGTTGGTGATGTGACGAGCCTTGGCGGTCCAAAGTGGAAAGACCTACCGATGGGCATCCAAATGAAAATGCCGAACCTTGCCTCACTGCAGCTGGGGTTGCCTGGGGAGGCTTTGATTCCCTCTCTGGTGCCTCCCCCTGGTGTGGTCTACCAGCTGAAGAACAAGGAGAAGACACAGTTTTTGGAGACCAATGAATACAAGTGGGAGCTTGATGAGGTCGAGCTTGGAGGGCGCGAGTTTGGCATCGATGCAAAGATTGCTCGGCTGAAAGGCAAGTGGCAGTCCAATTCGTTTGGGCACAAGAGCGTGCATGTGTACGACAATACTGGCACGGAAATCTTCAAGATTCGTTTGTCGAGCAACGTCTGGAATCCCCTCCAGCGGCGCTGGTCGTTCCGGATTTTGCCCCCTGGTTCCAAAGACAACGACGAGGCACTCTTCACAATTAACAAAGATCAGTTCGGAAGGGGCATCCCCATTTTGTGGGAGAAGGAAGAGTGGCGAATATACCGCGGACGTGAACGCGACAGTGACATGATCTACTATTGCGTCGGCTCTTGGCTCGGCTGGGACTTCAAGTTCTACAAGTCGATGGAAGACTACGACCATAGCGCCCGACCAGTAGCGAAGATTGAGCAGAAGATGAACGCTGGGGCCATCTTCGATAACGATTGGCTCCCGGACAAGTTCAAGCTCAAGGTGCAGCCTGGGGAAGACACCGCGCTTCTCCTCGCCGTGTCTTCCATCATCGACATGACGCACGATTCAAAGCCCGACAATAACAATCACCATCAGAACTGGTGACGCGGCGTCGTTCACAGTGTTAGGAGTGGCGCGTGATCGGCTAGTCTCCATCTCTCCTCCTACTCCTCAGCCGCTCCACCAGCAAGTGCATTGCCGACCAGTCGTGAAATTGACCTGACGAAGGACCCAACCATATGCAGCTGCGAGTGTCGCATTGTGGGTACCGCTTTCGGTGGAGCTATCTATGGGGCCACGGGGCGTGCGAGGTGTGCGCCGAAATCGGTGGCGGTGACGCATGCGGACCCTGCCACTGGAGCCTTCGGTGGAGCTTCCTATGAGGCCACGAAGCGCTGTCCTTGGTGGCGGTGACGCATGCGGACCCTGCCACTGCAGCCTTCGGTGGAGCTCCCTATGGGGCCACGAAGCGCTGTCCTGGGTGTCGGTGACGCATGCGGACCCTGCCACTGGAGCCGTCGGTGGAGCTCCCTATGGCGCCACGAAGCGCTGTCCTGGGTGTCGGTGACGCATGCGGACCCTGCCACTGGAGCCGTCGGTGGAGCTCCCTATGTGGCCACGAAGCGCTGTCCTGGGTGTCGGTGACGCATGCGGACCCTGCCACTGGAGCCTTCGGTGGAGCTCCCTAGGGCCACGGAACGCTACCCTTGGTGGCGGTGACGCATGCTGACCCTGCCACTGGAGCCTTCGGTGGAGCTCCCTATGGGGCCACGAAGCGCTGTCCTGGGTGTCGGTGATGCATGCGGACCCTGCTACTGGAGCCTTCGGTGGAGCTCCCTGTGGGGCCACGAACCGCTGTCCTGGGTGTCGGTGACGCATGCGGACCCTGCCACTGGAGCCGTCGTGGAGCTCTCTATAGGGCCACGAAGCGCTGTCCTGGGTGTCGGTGACTCATGAGGACCCTGCCATTGGAGCCTTCGGTGGAGCTCCATATGGGGCCACGGAGCGCTGTCCTGGGTGGCGGTGACGCATGCGGACCCTGCCACTGGAGCCTTCGGTGGAGCTCCCTATAGCGCCACGAAGCGCTGTCCTGGGTGGCGGTGGCGCATGCGGACTTTGCCACTGAAGCCTTCGGTGGAGCTCACTATGAGGCCACGAAGCGCTGTCCTTGGTGGCGTTGACGCATGCGGACCCTGCCACTGGAGCCTTCGGTGGAGCTCCCTATGGCGCCACGAAGCGCTGTCCTGGGTGTCGGTGACGCATGCGGACCCTGCCACTTGAGCCGTCGGTGGAGCTCCCTGTGGGGCAACGAAGCGCTGTCCTGGGTGGCGGTGGCGCATGCGGACCCTGCCACTGGAGCCTTCGGTGGAGCTCCTTAGGGCCACGACACGCTGCCCTTGGTGGCGGTGACGCATGCGGACCCTGCCACTGGAGCCTTCGGTGGAGCTCCCTATGGCGCCACGAAGCGCTGTCCTGGGTGGGGGTGACGCATGTGGACCCTGCCGCGGAGCCTTCGGTGAGCTCCCTATGAGGCCCGAAGCGCTGTCCTTGGTGGCGGTGACGCATGCGGACCCTGCCACTGGAGCCTTCGGTGGAGCTCCCTATGGGGCCCACGAAGCGCTGTCCTGGGTGGCGGTGGCGCATGCGGACCCTGCCACTGGAGCCTTCGGTGGAGCTCCATATGGGGCCACGAAGCGCTGTCCTGGGTGGCGGTGGCGCATGCGGACCCTCATTGGAGCCGTCGGTGGAGCTCCCTGTGGGGCCACGAAGCGCTGTCCTGGGTGGCGGTGACGCATGCGGACCCTGTCACTGGAGCCTTCGGTGGAGCTCCCTGGGGCCACGAAACGCTGCCCTTGATGGCGGTGACGCATGCGGACCCTGCCACTGGAGCCTTCGGTGGGGCTCCCTATGGGGCCACGAAGCGCTGTCCTGGGTGTCGGTGACGCATGCGGACCCTGCCACTTGAGCCGTCGGTGGAGCTCCTCATGAGGCCACGAAGCGCTGTCCTTGGTGGCGGTAACGCATGCGGACCCTGCCACTGGAGCCTTCGGTGGAGCTCCCTGGAGCCTTCGGTGGAGCTCCCTATGGGGCCACGAAGCGCTGTCCTGGGTGGCGGTGACGCATGCGGACCCTGCCACTGGAGCCTTCGGTGGAGCTCCCTATAGCGCCACGAAGCGCTGTCCTGGGTGGCGGTGGCGCATGCGGACTTTGCCACTGAAGCCTTCGGTGGAGCTCACTAAGGGGCCACGAAGCGCTGTCCTGGGTGGCGGTGACGCATGCGGACCCTGCCACTGGAGCCGTCGGTGGAGCTCCCTATGGGGCCACGAAGCGCTGTCCTGGGTGGCGGTGACGCATGCTGACCCTGCCACTGCAGCCTTCGGTGGAGCTCCCTAGGGCCACGAAACGCTGCCCTTGGTGGCGGTGACGCATGCGGACCCTGCACCTGAGGCCTTCGGTGGAGCTCCCCATGAGGCCACGAAACGCTGTCCTTGGTGGCGGTAACGCATGCGGACCCTGCCACTGGAGCCTTCGGTGGAGCTCCCCATGGGGCCACGAAGCGTCGTCCTGGGTCGCGGTGACGCATGCGGACCCTGCCACTGGAGCCTTCGCGGTGGAGCTCCCTAAGGGGCCACGCGGCGCTGTCCTGGGTGGCGGTGGCGCATGCGGACCTTCCCACTGGAGCCTTCGGTGGAGCTCCCCACGAAGCGCTGTCCTGGGTGGCGGTGACGCATGCGGACCCTGCCAGTGGAGCCTTCGGTGGAGCTCCATATGGGCCACGAAGCGCTGTCCTGGGTGGCGGTGACGCATGCGGACCCTGCCGCTGCAGCCTTCGGTGGAGCTCCCTAAGGGGCCACGAAGCGCTGTCCTGGGTGGCGGTGGCGCATGCGGACCCTGCCACTGGAGCCTTCGGTGGAGCTCCCTATGGGGCCACGAAGCGCTGTCCTGGCGGCCACGAAGCGCTGTCCTGGGCGGCGGTGGCGCATGCAGACCCTGCCACTGGAGCCTTCGGTGGAGCTCCCTGTGGGGCCACGAAACGCTGTCCTGGGTGGCGGTGACGCCTGCGGACCCTGTCACTGGAGCCTTCGGTGGAGCTCCCGATGGGGCCACGAAACGCTGTCCTGGGTGTCGGTGACGCATGCGGACCCTGCCACTGGAGCATCCGGTACAGCTCCCTATGGGGCCACGGAGCGCTGCCCTGAGTGGCGGTGACGCATGCGGACCCTGCCACTGGAGCCTTTGGTGGGGCTCCCTATGAGGCCACGAAGCGCTGTCCTGGGTGGCGGTGACGCATGCGGATCCTGCCGCTGGGGCCTTCGGTGGAGCTCCCTATGAGGCCACGAAGCGTTGTCTCGGTGACGCATGCGGACCCTGCCACTGGAGCCTTCGGTGGAGCTCCCTATGGGGCCACGCGGCGCTGTCCTGGGTGTCGGTGACGCATGAGGACCCTGCCACTGGAGCCTTCGGTGAGCTCCCTATGGGGCCACGAACCGTGTGAGGGGTGTGCCGAAATGGGTGGGGTGATACTGACGGTGACGATGATGATGATGATGCCGTCGATGGGAGGAGGGAGGAGGGGGAGGAGGAAGGAGTGAGGAACGCGGGACGCTGTCTCTTCAGAAGGAGGACCCTGCACAACAGGATGGTTGGACCCTTGCTGGCACCCCCGCCGTCCCTGTCAACAGCGATACAACGTGGTCGCAGGCCTGACGAGCACGACTCGAGACTTTGCCCCACAGTGCAATTCTAGACTCTGACTCGAACCTTCAACGGCGCAGGGGCAGGGCTTCGCGCGTGCCGCGGCCACGCCGCGCACCTCCGCGAGCGGCCTGGCGTCGGCTTCCGCGGCCCCCCGCGCGCCGCCGATGCCCGCTCACGACGCCGAGGCGCTGGCAGCGCAGGGGGCCGCGCTGGAGCTCTGCGAGGAGCGGGCGGCGGACCGCGAGGGGCGCGGCCAGGCCGAGCAGCTCGCCGCGCAGAGCCGGCGGCTGGAGCAGCTGCGGCGGGTCGAGGCGGTGGGCGCATCGCTGGGCGCCGTCGAGGAGGCGCTGAGGGCCAGCGTCGCTGGCTGGGCGCTCGTGCGGGCCCAGCTGCGGCAGCGGCGGGCCGCGGCGGCCAGGGCCTCGCCGGGCCGGGGGGCGCCCGCGGCGGCCGGCGCCGGCGGGGCCGAGGAGGTCCCCAAGAAGGAGGAGCAGGCGACGTTCGACCTGGCGCGGTACACGGACCCCGCGAGCCTCTTCGACGCGCTCGCGTTCACCGTGGATGACCTGCACCCCGTGCGCTTGGTCCGCATGACGTGGCTGCTGCAGCAGCGCGGCGCGGTCCTGAAGAGGCGCCAGGAGCTGCCGGAGGAGGCCTTCGTGTCCGCGGACGAGTTGCGGGCCGTCTGGGAGGCCGGCGGGCGAGGAGGGAAAGACCAGGTGGCGCCGATCATCGCCATCTCGTTCTGCTGGGACTCGCGCGAACACCCCGACCCCAAGGGGTTGCAGCTGAACTTGGTGATAGACACCCTACAGATGGAGCGCCTCAAGTACTCCACAGCCAAAGGTGACTTCAAGGGGTTCGGCGAGATGGGGATTTTTTGGGACTGGCCCTCGCTGCTGCAGGGCGACCCCGTCAAGGCCGATGAGGCGAAGGCCGCCGCCCTGCGGCAGGGCAAGAGCGAGAAGGACGCGCAGGAGACCGCGGACAAAGCCAAGCGGACCCCCGCCGAGAAAGCCGCCTTCAAGCACGGGCTGGAGGAGACGATGGACCTCTGGTACGCCCACCAGGCCACCACCGTCTTCCTGCTCACCCAACACCCCCGCGAGCGGGACAGCGCGCGCGAGTACAGCTACGACCAGTCCGGCTGGACGACGTACGAGCGCTGCTCCGCGGAGCAGATCAAGCAGGTTTGGCGTCGGCAGGCGAAGTGGCACGCCGTCGCCGACCTGGGGCAGGGGGCGGGGGGGCAGGCAGCCGGGAGGCGGTGGCCGGTGGGCCCGGACGAGTTCGACCGGCTCATCAAGGACAGGCATTTCACCAACGGCGCGGACCGGGAGGCGGTGAAGGCGCTCTTCCGCCGCATGAGCCTTGCGCAGCTGGGCGGTGTGACGACGCTGGACTTCGAAGGGATGCTGCCCCCGACCCCCGAGGAGGCCGCGGGGCTCGCCGGCTGCCTGCGGCTGTGCCACCGCCTGGAGACACTGGACCTGCAGATGTGCGAGATCGGCGCCGCGGGCGCGAAGGCCCTGGCGGGGGCGTTGCCCTCCATGACCGGCCTGACCGAGCTAGACTTGACCAGCAACAAGATCGGCACCGGGGGCGCGAAGGCCCTAGCGGGGGCGCTGCCCTCCCTTCTTGACCTGGAGACGCTGGATCTGGGCGATAACAGCATCGGCGACGAGGGCGCGCAGGCCCTAGCGGGGGCGCTGCCCTCCCTTGCTGGCCTGACAGTGCTGTGGCTGAACGGTAACAGCATCGGCGCCGAGGGCGCGCAGGCGGTGCAGGCCGCCTGGGGAGACCGGGATCGCAAGAAATTGCTCTTCTGAGCCGGGGCGCTCCCACAGGGGTGCCAGGGAGAAGCAGGAAGGCGCGCGGCAGGGAGAGCGATCAACATGCGAGCGTCGCTTTGGGATGCCGTGGCGAGACGCACACACATAATTGCGGCCTTTCACCGCGTGTGTTCAGGGTTTGCGCACGAGCCTGCAGACATGTCGCGCCCCCAACCAAAGAAAACCGCTCGCGCGTGAAGGGGCCGTCACTGTCGCCCCCCGCCGCGCGGCCCGGGGACCCCCGTCTCGTCCCCCTGAGACGGGGGCGCGGTGCCGCGCGAGGAACAGCGTAGTGTCTTTAGTCCGCGCTGACCGTGGAAAAAAAATGCTGGCCTCGTCGTGTGGTGGTTCTGTCCCTCCACCGCTCCGGGTTCGGCCTTTCCGCTCAAATCGCGGTTCCTCATCCTAGGCTAGCGGCCGTCCCGGCATCGTTTTGTCCAGCTTTCAGAGCGTGCGGAAGGTCCTCGTTCGGCTTTCGCTCACCCGAGGTACTCGTCCGCTCGTCATCACTTTGTGTGCTATTTCATTGCGTTGTGCCCAGTCGGGCCCGTGTTGGGTCAACCTGACACCCTCTCTCGCACAGGTACGTGGTGACCCGCGCCCTTTTGGCCGCGTCGCGGCTATGCCGCTTCCCCGCGCTCGTGCGTACTGCTGCCTAGGGGTCTCTCGGCTTCCGCCACCCTAGGAGTTGCAGCCTGCCAGCGCTCTCGCATCCTGGCGACAATTCCTTGGCCGACGGTCCTTTGGACCACCCTGGTTCTCGCGCTTCGCCGACGTCCGGGGCATCGCCTTTGCATTTCTCTTTCCTACCTCGACCGACGGTTCGTTGACCACGGCCACCCTGGTGCCCACGCAGTCGTCTGAGGTACGGTATCGCGTTTTCTCTCTCGGAAGTGTCCCTGGCCGTCGTTGAGTTTCCGACGTATGGCGCATCCGATGGACTTGCAGTTTTGCGCGCTGGATTTCAGATTCAGTCTACTCAGCCACCCACCTGAGGCCTCGGCCAGCGCTTAGCTGTCGCCTCGCGCGTTGTTTTGCTTTATATTTCCCGCGTTTCCTCTGCCTAATTAGTCTCTGCGTAGCCCGCTTTGACCTGACTCGCCGCCGGCGCGCTTTCCCGCGGCCGCCGGTTCAAAAAATATCCCCACCAGCCCCTCCAGAAACGATGTCCATGCGAGCTGAGGTGATCAGGGAAGTGCGGAAGCAAAGAGGGGGACGACCGAACCGTGCACAGGAGGGAGAAGGAGGAGGAGGGTGGATGGATGGATGAGGGAGTGGGGGGATGGATGCTGAATCTGATGATGATGATGCTGATGATGATGATGATGATGATGATGTTGATGCTGAGGATGATGCAGATGATACTGATGATGCTGATGATATGGTGATGATGATGACGCTGATGCGGATGCGGGTGATGATGATGCTGATGACGATGCTGCTGATGCTGCTGCTGCTGCTGATGATGATGCTCATGATGCTGATGCGGCTGGTGGTGGTGATGCTGTGGATACTCGGGGTGATGACGATGGTGATGATGTGGATGCCAATGATTATGACGATGATGTTGATGATGATGATGCTGCTGATGCTGCAGATGATGCTGATGATGAGGATGATGATGATGCTGACAGCATGTTGTGGATGATGCTGATGATGGTGCGGATGATGCTGAGTTGATGATGCTGCTGATGCGGATGCTGATGATGCTGATGATGGTGCTGATGCAGATGCTGATCAGGGTGGTGATGATGAATACGATGCTGATGATGCTGATGAGGATGATGACGATGATGAGGATGATGATGTTGATGATGACGATGTTGGTGATGCTGGTGATGCTGATGATGCTGATGCTGTTGACGATGTTGATGATGTTGATGATGCTGATGATGCTGACGGTGCTGATGATGCTGATTTGGCTGATGATGATGATGATTGATGATGTTGATAATGAAGATGATGATGCTGATGTTGATGATGGTTATGATGGTGAATATGATGGCGATGATGACGGTGATGATAATGCTGGTGCTGATGACGAAGATGAAGGTGCTGATGATGATTATGATGATGAATATGGTGATGATGATGATGACGGGGATGATGTTGATGATGATGATGATGCTAATGGTGATGCGGATGCTGATGTTGATGATGTTGATGATGATGACGACGATGCTGATGATGATTCTGATGATGCTGATGTTGTTGATGATGACATAGATGGTGATGCTGATGATGCTGATGATGCTGATGATGATGCTGATGATGACGATGATGATGAGGATGAGGATGAGGATGATGATGGGCATGATGATTCGGATGATGGTGATGATGATGATGATGGTGGTGATGTGATGATGATGGCGATGATGATGGTGATGATGGTGATGATGATTATGATGATGCTGATGATGATGGTGATGATGATGATGCTGATGCTGATACTGATGATGATGATGATGATAATGATGATGCTGCTGATGATGATGATGATGATGATGATGATGATGATGGTGGTGATGATGATGATGCTGATGATGATGATGATGAGGATGAGGATGAGGATGATGATGATGATGAAGATGATGATGATGATGATGATGATGCTGATGAATGATGATGTTGATGAATGGATGGATGTGATGATGATGATGAGGATGATGATGGTGGTGGTGATGGATGATGATGATGATGATGATGATGATGATGATGATGATGATGGGATGATGTGGTGGTGGTGTGCTGGGGTGGTGATGATGATGATGAGGAGGAGGAGGAGGAGGAGGAGGAGGAGGAGGAGGAGGAAGAGGAGGAGGAGGAGGAGGAGGAGGAGGAGGAAGAAGAGGAGGAGGGGGAGGACGAGGAGGAGGACGAGGAGGAAGAGCAGGAATAGGAGGAGGAAGGAGGAGCAGGTGGAGGAGGGTACGCAAAAGGGCCAGAGGTCTCTTGGATGCCTCTGGGAGCCTCTTGGGGTATCTCTTGGGCTCTTCTTGGTGGCCTCTTGGGACGTCCTGGGGGTCTCTTGGCGGTCCTGTGGGCCTCTTGGGCGTCGTGGGTGCCTCGGGGGGGCCTCCAGGGGGCCTCTTGGGGTCCCCTTGGGGGCCTCTTGGGGGCCTCTTGGGGGCATCTTGGGGCCATCTTGGGGCCATCTTGCGGCCTCTCGGAAAGGGGAAGACAGGGGTTGGAGGAGGAGCCGCCCCAGACCACCTACGCCTTGGTTGGATTTGTACTTCCCAGCCATCCTGTGGTGTTGGGTTTTCGTTTTGAAGATACGGTCCCCGCGTTCCTTCCCTCCCTCCCTCCTTCCCTCCTTCCTTCCTTCCTTCCTTCCTTCCTTCCTTCCTTCCTTCCTTCCTTCCTCCTCCCCCTCCTCCCTCCTCCCATCCGTGCCTTTGCCCTGCGCATGTCCTCAGCGTTCCGTGGCCACATAAGGAGCTCTACCTAAGGTCCCAGCGGCGGTGTCCATATGCGTCTCCCCCACCCAGTGCGGCGCTTCGTGGCCCCATAGAGAGCTCCACCTAAGGCCCCAGTGGCGGTGTCCACATGCGTTTCGCCCACCCAGCACAGCGCTTCGTGGTTCTATAGGGAGCTCCGCCTAACGTCCCAGCGGTGGTGTCCACATGCGTCTCCCCCACCCAGCACGGCGTTTCGTGGCTCAATAGGGAGCTCCACCTAAGAGCCAGTGGCGGTGTCCACATGCGTCCCCCACCCAGTACGGCGTTTCGTGACCACACAGGGTACCCCACCGAAGGCGCCAGTGGCGGTGTCCATATGCGTCTCCCCCCACCCGGAACAGCGCTTCGTGGCCTCATAGGGAGCTCCACCTACGGTCCCAATGGTGGTGTCCACATGCGTCTCCCCCACCCAGCACAGCGCTTCGTGGCCACATAGGGTGCTCCACCCCAGGTCCCAGCGGCGGTGTCCACATGTGTCTCGCCCACCCAGCACAGCGTTTCGTTGCTCCATAGGGAGCTCCACCCAGTGGCGGTGTCCACAGCGTTTCGTCGCTCCATAAGGAGCTCCACCTAAGGCTCCAATGGCGGTGTCCACAGGCGTCTCCCCGACCCAGCACAGCGTCTCGTGGCCACATAAAGAGATCCACCTAAGGTGCCAGTGGCGGTGTCCACATTCGTCTCCCCCTTCCAGCATAGCGCTTCGTGGCTCCCTAGGGAACTCCACCTAGGGCCCCAGTGGCGGTGTTCACATGGGTCTCCCCTGCCCAGAACAGCGCTTCGTGGCCACAAAGGGTGCTCCATTTAAGGTGCCAGTGGCAGTGTCCACATGCGTCTCCCCCACCCAGCACAGCGCTTCGTGGCTCCATAGAGAGCTCCACTGAAGGCTCCAGCGGCGGTGCCCACATGCTTTTCCAGCACTCAGTACAGCGTTTCGTGGCCCCATACGGCGCTCCATCGAAGGCCCCAGTTGCGATGCCAACATGCGTCTCCTCCTTCCAGTTCGTGGCCCATATGGATCTCCGCCTGAGGTCGCAATGGCGGTGTCTACGTGGGTCTCCCCTTCCCAGTACAGCGCTTCGTGGCCCATATGGAGCTCCACCGACGGCGATACCCACAACTGCGGCATTCACAACTGCATATGGTTGGGTCTTTCGTCAGGTTTTTTTGTGAGAGTGATGGTGGGGGGGCGCATCGGGTTGTCAACGCATGCTCCAAATGTGGAGGCAGAATGCGTTTTGTATGTCTTTTTGAGAGACATGGTGGGGGGAGGTCCGCATTGTTCCTGGTTGGCCGCCGGTCGCCTGGGGGAGGGGGTGTATATTAATGGGGAGCAGTGGTGAAATCGAAAAGGGGATCAACGGATCAACCCAGGCCACCAAAACTAAATCCCGGCCGACGGTCCCATCGCGGCCAATTCGACCAGATTCTGGCCGATTTTCAGAGCTTTTGAATGCCTTAAGAACTTATTAAGAGGTCTTAAGAGCGCTCTCAGAGGTTTTAAGAACACTCTTAAGCGCTCTGTGGTCTGTGTACTTGCGCAGAGCTTCTGACGAGCTTCTGATGAGCTCAATCAACGAGTCTTGACGAGAAGCCACTTTTGGGGAAGTTGTCGGACGATTCTTGCGCTGCCCCCGCGTCGCCGTCGTCGTCACCGCCGCCGCCGCCCCGACGACGGGGGGGAGAGGGGAGGCAGCGCGGAAATCTAGAGGAGGTTTCTCGGCGTTTTCGGCCTCTGGAGGTCGTCCTTGCCATTTGGCCCCGGGAAAATCAAATATCGGCTCGTGACGGAAAAGCCCCCCCTTGGGAAGTTGCGAGGTAATTCTCGCATTTTGTCGTCGTCGTCGCCGTCGCCGCCGCC